CAAAAAAATTGGACTTATATGTACTCCCAGTTATTTGCAGTTCCCAGTCTGTATTTAAAAGTAGACTAAAGAAACATATTTTTATGGCTGCTTTCAATTTTCCTTAATCACTGGTATTTATTTTGCTTTAGTGCCTTGCTCTCTGACTTTCTGTGTGAGAGGTGCTTTATATACTCAATTTGCTAGTGAGCTATGAGATGAAAGGAGTCTTAATGGTGAGTTTGAAGACTGTGGATTTTTATTTCTTTTATTTTTTTACAGTTGATACATATACAATTTCACCTTTAATTATCTATGGCTTATCCTGTCCATGGATCAATAAAGACATATAGAAAACATGCCTGTACTAGGTAATTCTTCCAGAAAATTACACAATCAAATAGGTTGGATGGCATTTGTTAAAATACATTTAGTACTTAGTGTGAAATCTCTTCCTATACATAGCTATTCAACACTATAATTCTTTTGTTTCTAACTACCTTTCACAAGATTTAAGTCTTGGAATAATTGTAATTTTCCTTGACCCTCTTTAGAGCGATTTAGTTTACATCACCATGTGGTTTTCTGAGGAGCCAAACAACGTCCTCTTGGATTTTCTCAGCAATATTAAACATTTAAAAAAAGAGTTTCCTACAGATTGAAAGAACTATAACACTGAGGTAGCTCCAGCTTCTCTCAGTTGCTTCAGCCACAACTCAAGCATGCAGCTTGCAACAGCATAACAGGATGACCCGAGACTGAGCCTAGGAACTTCATCCAGTTGTCCTACAAAACTCTAGCTTTGTGTCTCGCCTGCACTGTGACAAGTTTCTGGTAGTGGATTATAGTAAACCAGTTTCCTCAGCATGGCCATGTTTGATGTTTGATTACTTTCCTAGGTCAATTATTGAAAATTTGTTTTTGTATGTCCTTGGTTGATCACTTGGTTTTTATGAGATGCCATGTTATTCATCAATTACTTATTTACTATCCCTATATGGTGGGCCTAGAACCATGTTATGTCCTGTGGAGACAAAGAATAAGGTGTTGCTGTCAGGGATCTTACAATCTGTGAGAAGACAAAACTGATAAAAGTGAAATCATTGCAGAACGGATTGTTTTAGAAGTTCAGAGAGTTTCTATTCAAGAGAATATCGAATGAAGGAAAAGAGACTTGACATGGACTTTAGTTAAGTGAGAAAAGGTATAAATATGGGAGCACCTGAGTGGCTCAGACGGTTAAGCATCTGCCTTAGGCTCACATCGTGATCTCAGGGTCCTGGAATCAAGCCTTGTGGTGGGCTCCCTGCTCATCAGGGAGTCTCCTTCTCCCTCTCCTTCTGTCCCTCCCCGCACTTGGGCTCACTCTCTCTCTCAATAAATAAATAAATAAACAAAATCTTTAAAAAAAAAAAGTTATAGGGAGGCATCTTTGAGCTCGCCGAGTAGACACCATGAGCAAAGCTCACCCTCCCGAGTTGAAAAAATTTATGGACAAGAAATTATCATTGAAATTAAATGGTGGCAGACATATCCAAGGAATATTGTGGGGCTTTGATCTGTTTATGAATCTTGTGATAGATGAATGTGTGGAGATGGCAACTAGTGGGCAACAGAACAATATCGGAATGGTGGTAATAGGAGGAAATAGTATCATCATGTTAGAAGCCTTGGAACAAGTATAAATAATGGGCGTGTTCATCAGAAGAAATCAACTGCTTCCACATGTCTCCTCTCCACAGTACCTGTTTTACTACAATGTAAAAATCAGGTCGTGTGCATTTTCATATTGAACTTTTTTGTTAAATAAACTTTTATAAGAGTCAAAAAAAAGTTATAGGGATGGAAATGAGCAACCATGTTTATAAGACAGCAAAGGGGCAAGGCTAGCTGAGCACATGTCTCATTTCCAAATATACATCACACATCTATTTCCCTCTCTCCCTTGATTTTGCTACCCCCACTCCAGTTCACTCCTAGCTCTCCTCCAGACTACGGTAGCTGTGATTGGTCTCCTTACCAGGCCCTGTGCATAGATCTGACACAATAATCCTTTCTTTTATCTATGTAAAAGAAGATCATTTCAGGGGCACCTGGGTGGCTCAGTCGTTAAGCGTCTGCCTTCGTCTCAGGTAGTGGTCCCAGGGTCCTGGGATCGAGCCCCGCATCTGGCTCCCTGCTCAGCGGGAAGCCTGCTTCTCCCTCTCCCACTCTCCTTGCTCGTGTGCCTGCTCTCGTTATCTCTCTCTCTGTCAAATAAATAAAATCTTTAAAAAAAAAGATCATTTCAGCCCCATAATCAATCGCCTTCAAATGGCTTCCCATTGTACTCTGGGATCCTGACCTGAGCCAAAGGCAGACACTTAACCAACTGACCCACCCACACACCCTATAAATTCATGTCATTTGAGCACCATTCCAAAGAGAAAAAACAATATTTATAATTAATAATATATAAAACGTGGTGAGAAGCATGAGTGAAAGGTAATTTCAAATGTTAAAGCTTATATTAATGAGGAAATGGTGGTGTCATGAACTTAGACCTGGAAAGAAGTATAAAAAGAACACATACTCAAGTTAACCTCTTCTTAGAGGCTGCACCAGGACAGATGGTTCCTACTCATGGCTCTGCAATAACACAGCTGTGAGAATTCAGTTGAATCAGTTCAGGTCTCCAATGCTACAATATCTTCTCTGAAACAGACTTGGAAAATTCTTGTGACCTTGGGTTAGGGGAAAATTTCCTAGATACAACACTAAAAGCATAATCCTTAAGAGGGAAAAAAATATTAATAATTGGGTTTCATCAAAATTAAAAATTTATGCTCTCCAAAAGACACTGTTAAGAAATGAAAAGACAAGACACAGACTGAGAGAAAATATTTGGTAATCATATATTTGATGAAAGACTTGCATCCAGAATATATAAAGAACTCTTAAAATTCAATAATAAGAAAATAAACAACCTTGTTTTGCTTTAAAGTGGCAAAAGTTTTGAACAGCAATTTCACCAAAGAAGATATATAGTCATTAGGGAAATGCAAAATAAAACCACAATAGGATATGAACACACATCTATTAAAACCGCTAAAATTAAAGACTGATCATACCAACTGTTGGCCAAAATGTATTAGAGATATTCGAAGGAGTTATTAGAACTCTCATACACAGGTTGCACTTGGTGCAAAATGTTACAATTACTTGAAAACCATTTGGAAATTTCTTAAAATGTTAAATATTCATCTACTATACCATCTAGCCATTACACTCCAAGGTTTTTTTCCCCAAAGAAAATGAAAGTCTATATCTATATGAAGACTGGTACGTGAATGTTTATAAGAGCATTATTTGTAATAGCCATAAGTTGAAAAAACTGTCCATCAACAGATAAATAGATAGATGAATTGTGTTATATTTATGTAATAGAATACTTTTTGGCAATATGAAGGAATGAACTGATAAAAGAAAAAAAACATGGATCAATTTCAAACTAATTATGCTAAATGAAAGAAGCCAGATAAAAAGAGTACTTTTTTATTCAGTACACTCCACACCCAACATGGGCTTGAACTCACCACCCTGAGATTGAGAACCACAGGCTTCTGGCAACTGAATCAGCCAGGCACTATGTTCATGACCAACCTCAAGCGGCCCCTTAGCATTACCTAGCAAGTAACCGGTATACAATCTTTCTCCTCCTCCTCTTTTAAATGAGTTCAAACCTCTTTTCTCCTCAAACCTTCAATACCCTCTCCCCATAGCCATTCTTACCGGTTGACTCTGTTTCCTCTTTCACTTAGAGGAAGAAAGAAAAAGGAAGGTAAGGGAAAGGGGACGGGAGGGGAGGGGAAAGGAGAGGAGAGGAGGGAAGGGAAAGGGGGGAAGGGAAAGCAAAGGGATGGAAAAGGAGGGAAGGGGAGGGGAGGGGAGGGGAGAGGAGGGGAGGGGAGGGGAGAGGAGGGGAGGAGAGGGGAGAGGAGGGGAGGGGAGGGAAGAAAGGAGGGTAGGAGGGAAGGAGAGACAGAGAGGAAGGGAGGGAGGAAGGAAAGAAGGAAGAATGGAATAATTAGAACATGCAGAGGAAATGCCATAGGATGAGCCTGAGTGGTCACACTCTTGACAGACCCATCCCCTAGAGTCTGGGCAGAACCTGTGACCTGCCTCCTCTCAATAGAATATGGCAGAGACAACAGGATATCAACCCCTGATTATGTTGTTATATGGCAAAAGTGAAGGGATTTTCCAATATAATTAAAGTCTCTAGGGGCACCTGGGTGGCTCAGTCAGTTAAGCATCTGAGTCTTGCTTTTGGCTCAGGTCATGATGTCAGGGTCATAGGGTCGAACCCCTCAGGCTCCTTGCTCAGCAGGGAGTCTGCTTGAGGCTCTCTCTCCCTCTCCCTCTGCCCCTTCTGCCACTCGCACACTCTCTCTACCTCTCTCTCTCTCTAAAATAAATAAAATCTTTTTTTAAAAATGTCTCTAATAATTTGATTTTAAATTATTCAAAGAAGAGATTATCCTGGAATCCTGGGTGGGTCTGATCTAACCAGGTAGGCCCTTTAAACCTTAGTGATAATCTATTAGTGTTTGCCCAACTGAAAAATTTATCAAAACTCATAAAACTATATATTCAAGCAGGTATTTTATTGTATTTAATTTAACCTCAATAAATTTGTAAAATTAGTGTTAAGACCCCTCCTCTGCAATGGGATTCCAATAGCAGGGATTTAGACCCAGTGAAAGGTTGAGAGACATAGATTATGTCCCCAAAATTACAAACCAGACTACTGCTATAGGTACTATTCATTAGACATATTTGATTAAGTATTGTCTATGGCTTCTCTAGTACCACGACACTTTTTTAAAAAAAAGAAGTCTAATAAACAATATTCGCAAATTCTAGTTCAGCTAACAGGCCACCACCTCATAGCTTACATTTATATCAAAGCATTAAAATTAGCAATTGTTCTCTGAAGTAACTGAATGGTCTTTTTATTTCTGTCTGTCTGTGTATCACAGGTTTTGTTGGATCATGAACCTGAAAGCAACTGTTGTCTTTCTGGGAATATCTTACATCCAGCACTCAGGGGCCTGGGCCCTGGTTTTACTCATTCCTTTTATGTCTACACTTATGGCTTTGATAACTCTTCATATGATGCACTGTAACTTGATTTATCAGCCAGAAAAATGTAAGTAAATCATACTTCACGTTAATTTTTTTATTTTTATGGTTTTCTTGATCTACTTGATCATCTTCATCTTTGATCCCCTGTAACTTCTCTTTCAACTCACAGAATTTGGGGATTTTGCTAGCTACTACACTTGAGAGCAACAAAATCTGCAAGAATATCAACAATCTGTAACATCTTTTAGGTTTCCCTTGTTCAAAACAGTTTAATAATTGGATGTTTTAAACAAAAACAAAAGTAAAAAAAAAATCATGTATGCACGCTCAGCTTCAACTATCATCAACTCCACTCACTCTCTCCCCATCCCACCTGGTAATTTTGAAGCAATAATATAATATTATAGCATTTCTAAGTGAAATAAGGCAAATACCCTACAACCATACCACTCAGATGTGGAATTTAAGAAAGAAAACAGATAAACATATGGGAAGGGGGAAAAGAAAAAAAGGAGGAAAGGAAACAAAACATGTATTTAGACAAAGATAGAGAAGAAACTAAGGGTGGATGGAGGGAGATGGGTGGGGGATGGGCTAGATGGGTGATGGGTATTAAAACATGCACTTGTTGGCATGAGCACCGGGTGTTGTATGTAAGTGATGAATCACTGAATTCTACTCCTGACACCAATATTGCACGATATGTTAACTAAAATTTAAATTAAAAAAATTAAAAAGTTAAAAATAAATATTATAGTATTTCATTTGTGTGCAAGTGTGTAAATGACATACTTTTCTAAAAAACATATTCACAATGTCATTATTACATACACACACACACAATGAAAGAGAGAGAATTTAATACCATTGAGTATCTGCTCACTGTTAAAATCTGTTTCCATTTTTTAAATTTGTGTATTTTGTTTCATTTGAATCAAATCCAGATAAGGTCCATAAATTCCAAATGGCAGATATGCCCCTTACATCATCTATATTCCTCTTTCATTTCTGTTGTTTTGTTTTTTTTTTCATTTTTTTTAAAGAAGTCTGAACATTCCACAGAGCATTTCTCATAGTCTGGATTTCACTGATTATATCCACATGTTGTCACGCAACAGGTGTTTCTCCTTCTTAATTCCTTTTAATTATCTGAAAGACCTAGATGCTTGATCAGATTAAGACTTTTTTTTACATAATTCCTTCATAGATGGTTTATGTACTTCAATGAAGAGGAGAGATGTTTGATTATCTATTTTTACAGTATCAGCACCCACTATAATTTCTGCTTAAGTCCATACTCCACTGTGGGTTGCAAGGCAGTGATAGTCTATATTTATTCCTCCATTATTAGCTGAAGTAATTCTATAGAGAGAAATAACTCCTCATTAACTACTCAGTTACACAGAAGTATAGTTTATATAAGAAAAAGAAAACAAATGTTTAATTCTTTTCCTCTATTTTTTAGACTTTCAAATTAATGAGTCGAGATACAATATCTTCCAGAGGTGACCTGTTGGATGATTTTTTTAAACTATTATTATTAATTTATGGACTTAAAATTTTCAATAAGTTTCAATCCACTGCAGTTGTCGACCCTCAAACTGTTCCATATTTGGGCAGTGAGGTCCTCTTTGTGCTAGTATCTGACTCGAGTCCTTCAGACAAGCCTCTGTTGTCTTTAGTGGCTTTCTTGCTTTCTGGTATAACAGCATATTCTATGGTCATCATTTCCTTCCCTGAACTTGGAATCATCTTTCTCAAAAAAAAAAATGGCGTTTCCTTTCCATGGATATTGGTATTTAGAGACTATAATCTTAGCTATGGGGATGCTTGATGCTACTTAGTCTATCATAGTTCCTGGACTTTTCTGTGCACAAAGCTAGAAAATGTGTGTTTTTTTTCTTTTCTTTCTAGGATAACATACATTTTGGACTATACTAATACCCTAATCAAAACCAGTGCCAAATGATCTTGCCTTATCCTATCAAACTCAGATCTTTTCCTCCTACTTCCCAGGCCAAGAATCCCAGTTCTCAATGACAGCAATACAGCCACACGTTTGCTTTCTCTCGAAGACTCAGTAGTCTTTGACACTAGCACCCCCAGTATGGTTATTGAAAACAGTTTCAAAATCCTTGCAGGGTTTTTTTTTCTTTATGTTATAATGCCTAGGAGTGTACACCAAAACTATTATGTTCTAAAGTTACTTATTATAATTTCTCTCTGGTTATATCACTAACTTTATGTACAATTAAATGTATTTGTTCCATTTGTCTTTATACTTAGACATATTTTTAAAATTTAATTTTAAGTCATGGGAATAGTTTCATGTATCTAAAATTCATGTAGAAAACAAAGTCTCTTTATATTCCTATATCCTCTCCTATTCCCTTAGGCGTCTATTTACATATTTTAAAGAATTATCTTTCCAATTTATGTAATAAGGGAAAATATTAAAATCGTTTATGTGTGTGTGCATATGTCTCCACGTATGTATTTTCTCCCCTTCTTATATAAGCAATAGCATATTATTCACTCTTCTCACCTACTTTTCTCATTTAATGTAACCTAGGGATTGCTTCATAATTGTATATAAAAATATGCCCCATTCCTTTTTATAGCTGCCTGGTTCTCTATTGGGTAATGAACCATTGTTTGTTTTACCAGCTTCATATTGACGGACATTCAGGTTGAGTTGTTTTGCTTTTGCTATGTTAAGTTGATTCTAATGAAGAGCCTGATATGATCCTCTCTTTGCATTTTTTCCCCTAGCTTAGGATAGACTCTTAGAAGTAGAATTGTTAAGTCAAAAAGTAAATCTACACACAACTTTGCTATATTTTGGCAAATTCCCTTCCATAGTGGTTGTACCATTGTGTTTCCACCAAAAATGTACGAGAATGCCTGTTTTCCCATAGTCTTTCCAACAAAGTAATATTGTCAAACTTCTGGATTTTTGACAACTTGAGGGTGGAAAATGTTACCTTACAAAAGTTTTAATTGGCATTTCTCTTATTATGAGAAAAGTTGAACTTCTTTTCATTGCTTAGAACAATTTGTATTTCTTTCAGTGAGCTACCTGTTCGTACACTAGTCCATTTTTTTCTATAGGATTGTGGACTTTTTCTTTCAATTTTTAGAAGATTTTCCTATATTGTAGATGTTAACCCTTTGTCTATGATAAAATTTGCAAATATTATTCCCCATTTATCATATATCTTTTAACTTTGATTCTTGTGTTTTTTTTCTACACACAAGATTTTTAAGTTTGTTTTGTCTCTTTTGGTGGGGGGTTATGTTTATAATAAAATTTATTAATCTTTTCCCTAATTGCATCTAGATTTTGAATTATGTTGGAATAGTTTTCCTTACTCCCAGATTATAAAGATACTCACTCATATTTTCCTTCAGTATTCATATTCTTTCATTTTTTTTTTTACCCTTACATCTCTGACCCATTTGGAAGTTGTATTAAAATAGGTTTTGGGGCACCTGGCTGGCTCAGTCGGTTAAGCCTCCGACTCTTGATTTTGGCTCAGGTTGTGGGATCAAGCCCCACATCGAGCTCCATGCTCAGCACGGAGTCTGCTTGAGATTCTCTCTCTCCCGCTCCCACTGTTCCTCCACCTGCTCTCTCTCAAATTAATGAATTAATAAAATCTTTTTTGAAAAGTAAAATTGGTTTTAAGAGTGAACTCAATTTTGGATACCTGGATGGCTCAGTCGTTAAGCGTCTGCCTTTGGCTCAGGTTATGATCCCAGGGTCCTGGGATCGAGCCCCGTATTGGGCTCCCCGCTTTGCAGGAAGCCTGCTTCTCCCTCTCCCACTCCCCCTACTTGTGTTCCCTCTCTTGCTGTGTCTGTCTCTGTCAAATAAATAAATAAAATCTTTTAAAAAAAAAGAGTGAACTCGATTTTATCTTTTTTCCATGTAACTATCAAGTTATGCAAACTCACTTATTTAAAAGTCTGTATTTTCCCCAATAATTTGAGATATCAACCTCATTGTACACAGACACTTGCGTTTCTGGAGTTTCTACTCTGTTCCTTTGCTCAGTCTATTAATCTATCTTGTCTAACTCTGACCTTAATTTCTCATATATTTTCTTTTTACCACACCGTCTCTACTACCTCTCTATACAACTACTACCACTAAGAGTGATGCGATGAGTTGTATTTTTACCAGCTGAGCACCTTCACCAATGTTACTTCACTTTCACCTCCCATCTGTGAAGTAGGTAGGAAGGGTACCGTGATATATGACAAATGCGGAATAATATTTGCAAATTTATCATAGACGAAGGGTACTGTGAATCCTTTTATAGCTCAGACTCCATATGTTTTGTTCTGCTCCTCTGGCAACTTCAGGATATCTTTGCCATTTGATCTACTATATTATGTTGAAATGATCTACTTATGGATAAAATTAGGTATTCCGTTGTCTTACAAATGCTTGGAATATGGCAAATGTTCAGTGTTTGTTATTGGTAAAACTCAGGGCAGAAACCAAAGCATAATTAAACTAAATGACTTACCTCACAGAAAACGACTGACATGGAACCAGAAACCAGGCCTCATTTTTCTCAGGCTAGAGCTCATTTTTTTTTTATTTTTATTTAATTTCAAGTTACTTAGGGACGCCTGGGTGGCTCAGTCGGTTAAGCCTCTGCCTTCGGCTCAGGTCATGATCCCAGGGTCCTGGGATCGAGTCCCACATCAGGCTCCCTGCTCTGTGGGGAGCCTACTTCTCCCTCTGCTTCTGCCTCTCTCTCTCTGTTTCTCATGAATAAATAAATAAAATATTTAAAAATAAATAAAAATAAAATAAATAAATTCAAGTTAGTTAACATACAGTACAACATTGGTTTCAGGAGTAGAATTCAGTGCTTCATCACTTACACATAACCCCAGTGTAGAGCTCATTTTATTACAGCACATTCAAAAGCATGGAAAATTCCATCCATAGGAGCGTCTGCCCCCATTTCTCAGAGCTCTGTGGTCTGTGGATCACAGCTAAGCAGTGCACATCCTCCTGGCAATCTGTGGAATGGGTTCAATATGCAG